GAATTTTCCCTTATTCTTTTAGCACCTTTGTATCAGAAAGGTGTAAGAATCCAAATATATGGAAGAGTTTTCAGGGAGGAATTTAGAAATAACTAAGCAAGCACAGGGTGTTAAAACAGGGTTGAATGAAGCTGGGCAGTTGGTGAGGAGGAAATTTTTGTGGCTCAGCTGCTGTGTTGTGATATGGAGTGCTCCAGGTCAGGCTCTGGTAATGGAGAAATGGTGATAAATTTTAGTGCTGTTCCCTCGATAAAGCTGTCTTGATGGAGTGTACACGGCAGAATAGAGTCCATCCCAAACACTGGAAAAGGTGAACAATTTATTGGTAATTGTGTCAAGGAGAACGCAGACCTGAAGTATTTATGTGGCTGCAGGGGACAAACCTGACTCTGAATGGCTAAATAAAAGTCCCATTGATTTCACTGGGAATTTTGTCTCTACAAGAACTAAAAGGTGAGGATTAAATGTTTGCAGTGGAATAGTGATATCAGAACAAGGATAAAACTGAATTTATTAGGAATATAGTTTAATGCACCATCTAATTCTGGTTTCAGTTGGTTTCTTATTCTGCATATGTAACGTTTAAAAGTGGCTTAGTAACTTCATTGTGTCTTACATAAACGTTTTCCTTCATTTAGCACAACATACTGTACACTCTACCAGGAGGTAAAGCATCCATGTCTGCTCCACGATAAGGACAATCTATTTGAAGATAACTCATTTTATATTTAGATTGTTATGAAAAGTGGAGCAATATCTACGACTCATGTTTCCCCAGCTTCAGAAACAGTATATACTTCATTTATAATAAAATTGTAGGGCTACATCCAAGGGAATAATTCCTCCAAGTCACAGAACCACTTCTAACCTTGCTGATGTTCATACATAGCAGTGGAATTTGAACATATTTCCCTAGAAATGCCTCAAATGGTTATTTCAGGAATGGAGAAGTAGAGAAGTGGTTGCAAGTTAATAGGTTCTGCAGGCCAAACTCTGCACACACCTGGGCTCTTTGTTCATTCAATTCCCCAGCTTCATGTGGATAATCAACCTACCCATCCCCTCCGTTTCAAGGATTCACCTTTTTTTTAGACTCTCTCCCATCTGTCATTCACTTGTCCTCCATTTTATCCATCTCCCTGACTAAGATTTCTGTTCCTCACTGTCTTGATGATGTTGCATTAATCTCATTCAGTATACTCCATCTACTTATTTTTCCCCTTTAACATCCATTGAGCTCCTTTACTCTTTCCTGTCAAGAAAATCTGAGTTCTTGCAATGTCTCCTTTGCTCTTTGTGCCAGATCTCCTATTGCCCTGTTCCTTCCCATTCCATGTTAAAGCCTCTTTGCATAGCTTCATAGTGCCAGCCTTCCTCTGCCCCAGAATACCCTTTTGTCTGTCATTAATTTTCTGTGAATAAATAATTTAGGATGTTCATATCCTTGTGAATGCACTGTCTATTGCAGATTAGAAGGCACAAGAGAAATGCATCGTTATTTTAATCATGGGTGCCATCAAACAACTGTTAGACTGCTGAACTGTTGCAGAGGTGCTTGAGGTGCCTTGTAAGTGGCTTGTTTTTTTACCCATTCTGGTTTCTTGGCTTTTTTTCTTTTTAAGGTTTTCCTGTTAGAACACTTAGAATATTTTTGAATGAATGAGATGCACTGTTCAAAAGTTATTCTGGTATATGCACAGGTACAGGTGGACAGGCAAGAGAGAAATGTCATTCAATTGTACATACGAGTCACAGGACTGGACAAGAAGGTAGAGAAAAAATTAGAGATGGATTATGCGGCCATTCCTCAAATCCAGCAATAAGATACTTCTCAGCATTTCAAGTGATTGAGACATTCACATGGAAAATTCTTTTTCAGTAGAGTACATCCAACAAAACAGTGTAAAAGTATATTAAGACTGCACATGACTGCAAAGTACAAGATTGACTGTCCAGTTCAAAAAACCCCACAGTTGACTCACTTCTTTTTTAATAGTGAGCCCATAAGATGAAATTTAAGGAAGAAATACTTTCAACAGTAGCACTGGTAATATTGCACCAGTTCCACAGGGACTACATATTTTAATCAAGTCAAGGACATAGCATATTTATCTCAGTTTCACAAAGATGAAATATACATAAAAAGAAACAAAACACAAAACAACTGTATCTTCTGTTGAATCATCTTTATTGGAAGTAGCAGTGGTCTTTTTTGTAAGTTTATAGAGTTTGGTTCACTGACTGGTTTTATATATTTTAATTGGAAAATCTCTGAAAACTTATTATGTGTCCTTAAAATATTACCCTCACCACACCCATTCGAATGTTACATTCAACCTACAGGAAAGTTCAAACAATGATGCAAAAGTTGAACCCTGATGCAACTGAATTCAATGAGATTTTTTTCAGGAGTCCAAGGTCTCACTAAAATAAATTATTTTGCCATCAGCAACAGAGAATGCTGATGGGATCAAGAAATCCTGGCACTACTGAAAAAAATCAGTGGTGATGATCAGCCATTGCCAGAAACTTAGAGTAACTACAGCAGACTACATTCTCTGGGGGTGGATTCAGCACTTTTTTGAAAATCTGACGGTTTGTTCTTTTAAATGATTCTTTTAATACCATTTTAAGAAAATCATCTTAAAAGGAATTAGTCTGAATGTTATCAATGGACAGTACTAGAAACTATGGATGTAGCAGAAAAGAATGGAAGACATAAGACAAATGAAGCCACGCAGTCCACAGTCACATAGAGGTCAGTCAGTTTTCTATGTTTTTTGGTGACTTTCTGGAATACATTTTTGCCTACTGATTCATGGAAAACTAAGAACATGACAAATAAGTGAAGCAATGAAACATTCTTGCTACTGAAATAGGATGAAATAAATTTTGAATTTTAGGAGCACTTGCAACTGTGCAGTTTAAGCTGGTTTAAGTTAAGCTGCCCCTTTACGCCATTCACCTTCCTGTCCTTCCTGCTCGCATATGTGCGTGGCTGCCAGGTGAATCAGACCAGTGTATGGATCGGGCTGAATCATTCTTTTCCCTGCATTACTTTTCAACCTGATCCGATTTCCTGGTCTGATCAACTTCACAGCTTTAAACACTTGCAGAACTGAGAGAAGAGCGGCCAAAGGGAGGGACTGCTTACAGTAAATGCTGCTGTCAACAGGAATTTACATTAAACCACAGCCAGCACAGCCTCATCTCCAGCTTTCCTGGGCACTCACTGTTGGTATCATTTTGTGGGAATAGTATTCTGGGATCTAGTTACCCCAGGTAAACGGCATAAAATTCCTGAAGTCTCTTCAACAATTTATAAGTATCTCTCCAGTGTTGAATTCTATGTCTCTGACTTAAATAAACCAGGGACATGTAACAGCCGAAGGAAGTACTTTGCAGCCTTTGCAGAGGCATTGCAAAACCACTTACACCAGAGTGATGTATTCTTACCCAAAAATATGCCTGTATTCCTTTCCTCTCCTCAATGTCCTCACCATTCTTGAGCTTTTCCTGGTCTTTGATCAGTGTTTTCAGGGATCATAGGTCTCCCTCCAAAGCACTCCATGACTAGCTCAGCTTTCTCTTCCTTCTAACAAAAGTCTCCTCTGAATGCTAGAATATGCAGTCTGTCAGCTAAAAGATCTGTCAGAAAAAAATGTGCTTTCATTATATCCTGCTATGAAAGTGTCCATTTTGCTTTTCACATTTTGTCTTGTCTCCTTTGGAGACTTCAGGTTCTGCACCAGCATGGGGAGAATGGTTCATGGCAGCAGACTCTTCTAGAGTCTGCTCTGCCTTTTTACCTTTATACCCTGGACATATATGATACAATGGCAGACACAGCATACACTGAAGCATTTAATGATTCAGTTTTATAAAAGTAATCAGTGTTATACAAGTAAGTGCCTAACAGTTGCACACACATTGACTTTATGTATTACAGTAGTATATAGGCATATTAATACACTGAATTTTGAAATAGGTATGTAAACATAAACTAAAAGGTACATATGCAGTTATTTTAATTAGTGAACTAAATCATGTCTATTACAAAGGGAGAAATAAAGTAATGTCAATAGCATTTGCTTCTGTAGCCCTTTCATAGACAGTATCCAAATTTCAGCTGGTAGAAGACACTTCTGGGTTTGCCCCTGGGCAATGCTAGTGAGAAAAAGCTGAAGTGTGGTTAATGTCCCCAGCTGAACGATGAGCATAAAAGGTCAGTTTGGATAGTATGTCATGATCTTGAAATTGGTTTTCACTTGTAATTTATGTTAGGATTTCAACCCATATTAACAGATTGAAATTAATGAAGTTATGCTAGTTTGCACTATCTTATGTAACAAGTGCATAGAGCAGCATATTACAATAGAATGCTTCTTTAGGACACGATTTCTCAGCCACTTGAAGTGAAATGAATCTAAATTTATGACTGCTGCACCACGAATAGAAGATAAAGATGTACATGTACATACATTTTCATTAGTACTTCCTGAAAGGAGTTCTGTGCTTGTGATATGCCTTGTTCTGATTTTATGCACTAAACACAATGGTACAGACAACAGTTCCTTCCCACTGCTTGGATAAAGATGTGTTAGAACAGACAGCTCAAAAACTTTTTACAAAGTGTTGAATACAGAGAATATATTTACATGTCCATGGGGTTCTTTGTCAGTTTTCTAGCAGTGGTACCTATAGTGATTTCTGCAATAAGGACCTGCCTGTTAGTCTCTAGATTAGTCTCCAGATTAGACAGTATTTTATAGATTCAGAAAGAGAATGTTCTAGGAACTTGGACAAAAATTTCAGAAGGGCCAAACCAGCTTTGGAATTAAAGTTCCATTTTCAAAAGTGACTTAGTGGCCTAATTCTACTGCTGTGCAATAAGATGCAGACCCCAAAGGCACAGAACCTTAACTTCCAGCTTCTATTAACTTCATAATCGTATTGACCATACTCCTCAGTGCTCTCCGATCTAACTGATCTACAACAGAACCCTTGCGCAAAAGATTTCAGTTGGTAACAAGGTGAAAAACCTCGAAGTCCATTATCATTCCCCTGAACTATTTTGCTCTCAAAATGCATAAACATATTAATTTGCCTTGATTTTGTTTTATGCATGCCATATGAATAACTCTGAGTGACTTCTTCCAAGGAGCATCTTCATACCCCTCTTTTCAGTTTTCGGTTATTAAGGGTCAGGTTCTGCTCTCTGTGCCACATGTTTTGTTACCCCTGAAGCTGTTTATATTTCTCTGTGTCAAAGGGTTGGCTTCTCTGACCAGCTGTAAACGATTAGGCCAACTATTTGACCAGAATTTAACAAAGCTGGAGATACTGAATTAAATTCTCCAGACTTTCTAAGTAAGGGAGTAGCAGGGCTGATTCTGGAGAGCACAGTTTAAGAAAATTTAGCACATATTTTGATAAAACAAAATGTCAGTCTTTTTAATGGATGCATGTATAGGTTGCCTGGAGTACTTACAGTCTCAGCTTTGTTCTAAGTACTAAGTTTGAGCACAGTTTACGAGTAGCTGGTGGACAATACAGAAGACAAGGGGATTTCTTTATTATTGCACTTGCTTCAACCTGTTGCATTAGGAAAATGATTTTATTATTTATTTTATGACTCCTGACAACAAAGTGCTGGTAATATTCTGCTTAAGTATTTGGCAAATATTATTATTCATCCCTACTAAAAGATTTTATATATTTCATTTATAGAAATGTAAATACTAATGCTTTGATAACCATACTTTTCCTGTTCTGTTGTTAGAAATTTCTTAGATTCACATTGCAAACTATCTTCCTGTGTTCAAGAGTTTGCCCCTGTCATGAATTACTGATTTGATACACAATGCCACACATTTCAGTCTATATTATACAGGCCACCATGTCCCCAGTTATTTTCACAGTACTACATTAAGTGCAAATAACAAGGCCAACTTTTAAGTTGCAGTAACTGAATGGAGTTTTAACCAGGATAATACAAAATATAGTATCCCTGTAGCTATTTAATTTGTCAGGTGTTTATGCTCAGTGTACCAAGTCCACAAATGTACATCAGAATCATTAGCACCATATATTACATATTCTTTTACGCATACATTGTTTTCCTGTTTGTTTTAATACCAGAGCCATTACCAAATACAGTTCTCATTCAGATGATCCCAGCAATAGGTGGCATCATCAGTCCATGTCCTAGTCAACTCTTACAGGGAGCCTGGCAGAAATGTTCCTGATGCTGGGTGAAAATATTAACTACTGCATAACGTATTTGAAAATAGACACTAACAAATGAATTATTCACTTAAAATACCCAGCCAGACCTATGCAACGTAAGGAAAGGGACGTTTAATTAGTTTTCATATAAACTTTTGTAAAAGCAAATGCATTGGGAAGCCATATTACATGAAAATCTCACCAAATCAATGTCAAGATTCAGATGTCTATTTTTAATGTTTTCCTTTCAGTCACACAATTGTTCTGGCCCCAGAGTAAACAGTAAAACATTTACCTGACGCGAGTTATCCCACTGGAATAATTTGTGTGAATAAAATTTAGCACACGTCAAGGGCTGCAGGCTTAGGTCAAAAGCATGGAAAATTTCCAGCATCAGAAACAAAAGAATGTGTTCATGGAATAAAAAATGGGAAATGTTTTATCGTTTTAAGTAAACAGAGACACACCTAGTCCTGCATAAGATGGAGATCTGAGTCTAAAACCTCTTTTTTTAGACTATGCCCAAGCCTCAGGAGAGATTTATCTTGTAAATTTCCCTGCAATTCTGCTTGCCCAATTGTCCCACTAAGACGTGGGGGGAATACACAGCTTCTGTCTTGCTCATGTGCCAAGGTCTCCGTTCTGCAGAGTGAAACAACTGAATGCAGGCAATAAGGGGGAATGGGATGACACTGTAGTTGTTGTCCCATTATAATACTGAGATGTAACGAAGGAACAAACATGGCTGTAGGAAGCAGAAAGCATTCCTGGGTTCTGCAGTGTAATAATTTATTTACTTTCTGAGGTCAACTGGAACAATGATTTATGATTGCTTTTGCCTACGAAATAATTACAGTTGAGGCAATGAAGCCCTTGGATTTTAAAAGCAGTGAGTCAGAAGAAAGAAATGATCAAATACCAGAACACTGAATAAATTAAAAGTGTAAAATGAATGTTTCCACCTTCTGTCTTAGAAAAGGTCCAAACTGTATCAAGTATCCCATACTCGTGAAGTCAAAACGAAAAGTAAAAAAGAAACATCTATAGAAAATATGAAAACAAAGCTTGCAAGTAAACATTTTGTAGCCTTGGGCATATTTACATACGTAGACAGGAAATGTCCATATTTGATCTACAGTCTGGAAGTCATGCTGGTTTGATTGGTTTGTGTGTTAGTGTCCCAACCACATCTGATCTTTTTTATCCTTTTCCTAAAACACGGGAGGAGCAGTATGCATTTACAAAGCAGAACTACAATAGGAAGAAAAACTGCTAGCATAAATGAAGGTGGTGTATACCAGATAAACTGGTTAACATCAACCCACTTATTCCAAGCAAACACCAGTGCATGAACAGTGCACAGCAGCAGAGCCAAATATCCCATCTTGCTCTGAAAAGAGAAATAAAATAGTAAGCTATTTATTTTTTCCAACTTGGCAAAAAAGTACACTGTTAAGCAAATATGGAAATCAGAAAGGCCTCAACCAACGCGCTTAAGTCAAAGAAAAAAAGACCATTGGCTTAGAAGTAAAATTTAAGAACTATAATTCGAGAATCTAACTGTACCCTTCTATGCCACCATATGAGAAAAAAGATGAGGCACATTTTTCAGCTATTGCTATGATACTTAGCTAGTATACAGAAGCGATCATGGATTACAGGCTATTCTTGAAAAAGGGTTAATTCTCAATATCCCTATTTATAGATGTCATCTCTATCCTAAATTACTTAATTTCTGTGATAAATTATTATGAGTTCAAAAGCAGATATATAAATGGCTTAATTGATTGTTTGCAAAGAAAAATTTTAAGGTCACTCAAAATCAGAAACTCTAGTAAGTCTAGTACTATGACAAAAGCAATTGCATAACTACAGGAAACTGAAGTCTTTCATTACACTTACAGTAATAAATTCGGCTTAGGATGATGATGAAATTCAGGAGTAAAGGAAATTTTATGCTAGAGTTACTGGTAATCTTGAGTTGCTTGTTGCATAACAATCTTGATATTATGGAAAATGGAATTAGTCATCAGTGAAGTCAAACATTGCCTTTCCAAGTGCTAAATCTATAGAATCTGATTTTTCAAGAATAAAGCACATCTGCAGTAAAATCAGGACTGGCTGGATTTGATTATACATCTGTTCTAAGATGTGTTCTTTTCAGAATACACCTTTTTGGAGGGGGTTATGAAGCTAATAATGCTGTAGATGGGGAACCTTTGCATGTATTATTGGGCAGAAGCCTTCTCCTGAAATTTTCTGCCACCTCGTACTGCTCAGTCAGTAAAGAACTGCCAAAATAGCTCACAGGGAGAAACAAGCAATTCTCCTTGTGTAATGGAATCCCATGTTGTTTGGAATAACATTGGCTGGTTCCCTACTACCTACTCCCAATTCAGCAGGACACGGGGCATTCCTGAAATATAAGATGCCCAGAAGATGACTGAAATGCCTTCAGCACCAGAAGCTTTTGACCTAAGAATACGTCCTGAAAGGACAGCTGCTGCTGCTCACCATGTCAGTGGAGCTAAAAAGTGGTTTGGAGTTGTCTTTCTTCCCACTTCATACACTGCACCTGACAGCCTTTTCTGACAAAATAACAAATTAAATGAATGTTTCCTGCAAAGCAGTTAAGAAAGACTACAGAACAAACTTCTAGATTATTTTCACTGACTCCTCTGTGTTTGATATGTCTAACTCCTAATGGTCTTCGTTGATAACATACAGTCCTACAAATGAGAACTAATGACATGTAATAGTGACATTTAAGCATACCTGAATGTAGTGGAACTCTCTCCAGGTCAAAGAGTGACTGACAGATGGGATGGATGTTATTGCCAACAAGGCCAGCAAAGCAAGTCCCAGAATTCCTAGAGACACATAAATCTCCATTCTCCAAACATCATGCTCGATCCAGGCATTTTCTTTTTTTTGTTTGACCTGCCAAAAGAACACCATATTTAAAATGACAGACTGGCACACTTAGCTGTTTGTGTGAAATACAGCTATTTTCACCAAAATATTCAGGAAATAAGACAAAAACCACAGTATTTTTGTTTGTTTGAATGTCTCTGAATGTAACTGCTATTTACTCCTGATGAGAAAGTCTCCACTAGTGTCTGCAGAGCAAAGGTGGGCTTTACGTGAGAAGAATTTACATCAGCATCCTGGCCCAGGAGAGACTGGTTCTGAGGCCTGTTAGCCTGCCTTCACAGCAGGAAAAATCTTGTTCTTTGACCAAAAAAAAAAAAATCTATGGCTAAATACCATATCTGGGATCTTATAACAACAGGAAATATATTAACAGCACTATTTTAGGTAGCTAATTCACCAGGCATTCTTAATGATGGTATCCTGCCAGGATAGTTGTCTCAATTTTTTTAAAAACAACAACTTGGTACATTCAGCTGCACTGAACATGATGGTTGGGATAGATGAAAAGGTCATGATTTTAATACACTGATGTCAAAGCTTCTCCTATTTATAAGTACTTGCAACAGCCCTTTGATGCTGCCAGTGATCACCATGGTGTAATATACCCAAAACACAATCACTTTTTTATCTTGAGGACTGGAATCTCAAGGAAATTTCTGATAATCTGTTCAAATTGGATTACAGGTGAAACTGATATCAGAGCTTTCAGCAGGTAGTTTGACTGTTTACAGAATTCTTAAGAAGCTGCTAACTTCATACTGTGCTTTTAATACAACTGTTGATTAGACTTTGAGGGTAATAAAAATGTACATTTTCAGTCTATACCTTATATTGGAATATTACCGATATTGCAATACTCATGGCATTCAAGGTGATATGGAAGTATTAGGACCTCTGTAGTTACAATGGATCTTACAGAGCTTTACCAGCCAATTATTGCCCATTACTCAGAAGCAGGACTGAAATTCTTTTAACAAATTAGTGTGCATCAGCCCAATTGTGGAACCATCAGCATTTGTGAATTTAGTTTCTGGCAAATACAGATTACTGTGATTTGGCTCATCCCTCCTTCACCGCTGGCTAATTCTCTTTACAAAGAATATGTCTAAAAATGGTGTGTGCTCGGGTTTTTTTAGATAGTTAGATTCCACTGGTGCAGGGAAGATTAATCCACACTAAATTAACAGTGTGCCAAAGACTTAAATGTTCCTGTGAGACAGGTATAATTACATGCATTTTACAGAGAGACAAAAATCCCAAATGAAGAAAATGACTTATTTAATACACACTGGCACAGTTGTGATGACTCCTGACTCTCTATTACATGCTTTAACAACTAGGTCCTGCTTCACCCCTTAACAGTGCTCTGTGGAGACCTGCTTCAAAATCAAGTGAAGGCAATGTAAATGGCATTCCCCCCAACCAGATTAGCTTCAGTGACCAAAGCAAGGATTTTCTGAATACAGAAGGGTTGGCATTTGCATGCCCATCATACCTGCTGGAATGCCCAGTTCAGTAGCTTGTATCTGTATGATCTTCTCATTGGATAGCATAAGCTATAGCAGGCGTGCATTGCAGCGAAGAAGAAACTGAGAAGTCCAAACTGCTTTCTTGATAGCAACCATCTATCCAGCCACTGAGGAAACCTTTTATACTTGGTGCCAAAGTACAGCTGGAAACCAGCAGCTAATATTCCTGGTAAATATACTAGTGCTAAAAGGGTAATTGAAACCACTGGTAAAACTTTGTTTATGACAAGGATTGGAATTTTATAGAAAACATTTTCCTTTCTGGTTATAAAAGGATATATGACATCTCTCATAGAAGTGTAAATAAACGTCAATAATGAGATCACAGATGCTATCTTCATTGGCAAGTGCCACTTGGGGAACAGATCCTGCTTGCAGTCTTGTTCTGAAGAGTGTTCAAACTCACCAAAATGGTGTGCTTGATGTAAATTAAAAAGCGCAGCTGCTTCTGGTGGATTGGTGATTTGCATATCCACATTCTGGAAAGGACAGAAAGGAAATACCAAGTGAGTTCAAGGGAAGATTAAAAATTTCAGTAATGACAGTATTTGCCATCATGGCTTTTACACTGTATTGCACTGAAACCATATACAAAACATACACACTATTAAAGACAAGGTAGCTTGAAGACATAAAGTTTCAAACATCATAGTCAGTAGTTGAGCAAGGCACTTTTAGCACAGGTTTCTCATTCATCATTCATTATCTGTGGTGATTTCAAAACAGATTTTAATTTCAGGAAGTACACCACAAGAGAAGATGGATTACATTGTGTGAAGCATCATTACAGCTTCTTAGGATATGAGCTACAATTTTCCAATGTCAGATTTCAGCTACAGACTTAATCATGCAGCCTGATAGTATCCACAATAACAGAATCCAGGGTTGAGACAATAAAATATTTCATTCAGTCACTTCTATTTTAATGGAATTTAATTGGGGGAATAAGGATGCAAGTAGAAATATTTAGTCTAGTCTAAACATGGGATCTTTGGGATCCAGCATATTAGACTACATCTGTCAACTCCAGCATCAAGTCCTGTGGTCTTCTTCCTCTCATTCACAAATGTAACATTGTCCTCTCAACTTTCATGAAAACTTGTGAAACTGAGCCACTTCAGTTTAAAAAGCGGAATTTTCTGTTGCCAAGTCGGCATGGTTTGATTTTAGTCTCACAGAAGACCTTGGCAGAATTATCACAGACTTTAGAAGGAGCTAAGGTAATACAAAATTTTAGTGTAATATTATAAACTGCTTTACACTGAGATAATATATTCGAAGAGTGTCCCACAGTTCATGGAAGAGGTATATGATCAGTATGCATACAAAACTAAAATATGTGTACCAACAGACCTTAATGCCATACACAGCTGTCCAGGGTTGGAGAACTGAGAACTGTTAACATTAGGTAATAAACATGTAAGTCCTTTAATATTCCAGTGAAATACAAAGCAAAACTGAGGTAATGCTGAAATGGCTCTGCTTTAGAATGACTGATGTAACAGATGTCCAGACCTCCAGAAAGCAAAATGGCACTGTCTGAGGAAGGCAAATATTAGTAGTTTGAAAGTTGTAAGTTAGTGTTCTGCTAGGATACAGGATATCTTCCTATCTCAGCAATATTATCTTGTTTTATTCTTAAGAATCAAATATTACATTGAAGCTGATTAAGTAGTCAATTCAAACAGTATACTACTTGTAAATAATGCAAGGATAAGTGGGTGCAAGTCTTGTGCTCATCTTCAGTATGTAGTGTTTTGTTTTAACAAAGAGATAAAAAATGTACACTGCTATCTTGCTGTAAAAACCTAATTGGAGACAAGGTAGCCTGTTTCCCACATACAACTGACTTGCCTACAGTGCCTCACAGTAAAATTAAACGGCATAGTCTTCATTAGGATGTTTTAGCTGAATAGCTACTACATGTTTATCTGATGATAAAAGCATATTTTTGTAACAGTGAAGGTGCAGCCTAAGTAACTTTTATTCTCTAGTCTGTGAAGAAAAGTAGAGTGTCCTCTATGCTTTGCAGATTTGGAAGTTGGTATATATTATACAAACTGAGATTCATGCCTGAACCAAGTTTCACCTACAGATACCTGTTTCTTGAAGAGAGTCTGTAAAGCCTAATTCAGTATTTCACAGCCTGCAAGACAGTTCACATTACAATAGAAAGTTGTAGCTTGATCTAATTCTGTGTATCACCTGTTGCAGAGGCAAATGCTGTTGGAGTGGATTTTTTTTCTGGACTTTTTTGTGTGATGTGGCAAACTTACTGAATGCAATGTGGCAATTATGAAGACTCCTCCCAAGATAAATTTTATATTTCTGTTTAAAAATCCCAAATTATTTCTACATAGCTTTGCTCATCTGGTAAAATGCAACTAGCAACTAACCTCATGTAATTTTTGCTGGCCCAAGCTATGTAGTTTTTAGCATGGACTGTGATTAAATTGAATGAGATGCTCTATATCTTTTTATCTCTTCATGTCAATATTGTGACAAGACTTACAAGTATTGATAAGCCAGTGTGATTGGAACACAGTATTTCTGGACAAAATTGAATGAAAGATTGCAATATTCTGTGTGACATATGAGCTGCTTTTTTACAGAAACATTACCAAGTTGCTAAGGTTTCCTGTATTTCTTCTCGGCATGATGCTCTGACCTGCATTCTGATCAATGCTGTGATTATCTCCTTCCCTCTTCTCCATTGTGGAAACTCCCTGCAGAATAAACACAGGATGTAAAAGAGGTTTTGAAATGCCCTACTGGAACTTTGAAGCCTATTTTCCCTCAAAATGTTTTCTTTCCTCTCTTCTGCCCATTTGCTGGAGAACGAGGAACGTCTGTCAAGAGAGGAGAGGAGAGGAGAGGAGAGGAGAGGAGAGGAGAGGAGAGGAGAGGAGAGGAGAGGAGAGGAGAGGAGAGGAGAGGAGAGGAGAGGAGAGGAGAGGAGAGGAGAGGAGAGGAGAGGAGAGGAGAGGAGAGGAGAGGAGAGGAGAGGAGAGGAGAGGAGAGGAGAGGAGAGGAGAGGAGAGGAGAGGAGAGGAGAGGAGAGGAGAGGAGAGGAGAGGAGAGGAGAGGAGAGGAGAGGAGAGGAGAGGAGAGGAGAGGAGAGGAGAGGAGAGGAGAGGAGAGGAGAGGAGAGGAGAGGAGAGGAGAGGAGAGGAGAGGAGAGGAGAGGAGAGGAGAGGAGAGGAGAGGAGAGGAGAGGAGAGGAGAGGAGAGGAGAGGAGAGGAGAGGAGAGGAGAGGAGAGGAGAGGAGAGGAGAGGAGAGGAGAGGAGAGGAGAGGAGAGGAGAGGAGAGGAGAGGAGAGGAGAGGAGAGGAGAGGAGAGGAGAGGAGAGGAGAGGAGAGGAGAGGAGAGGAGAGGAGAGGAGAGGAGAGGAGAGGAGAGGAGAGGAGAGGAGAGGAGAGGAGAGGAGAGGAGAGGAGAGGAGAGGAGAGGAGAGGAGAGGAGAGGAGAGGAGAGGAGAGGAGAGGAGAGGAGAGGAGAGGAGAGGAGAGGAGAGGAGAGGAGAGGAGAGGAGAGGAGAGGAGAGGAGAGGAGAGGAGAGGAGAGGAGAGGAGAGGAGAGGAGAGGAGAGGAGAGGAGAGGAGAGGAGAGGAGAGGAGAGGAGAGGAGAGGAGAGGAGAGGAGAGGAGAGGAGAGGAGAGGAGAGGAGAGGAGAGGAGAGGAGAGGAGAGGAGAGGAGAGGAGAGGAGAGGAGAGGAGAGGAGAGGAGAGGAGAGGAGAGGAGAGGAGAGGAGAGGAGAGGAGAGGAGAGGAGAGGAGAGGAGAGGAGAGGAGAGGAGAGGAGAGGAGAGGAGAGGAGAGGAGAGGAGAGGAGAGGAGAGGAGAGGAGAGGAGAGGAGAGGAGAGGAGAGGAGAGGAGAGGAGAGGAGA